CCAGGAACAAGTCTTACCAAGCCCTGGCACTGATGAGGCACCGCACGGTGAACATCACCAGGTTCCTCGGCGGGTACATCCTCCCCATAACCATCATCACTTTCTGCTACATCGCAATCGTCTTCAACCTGCGTCGGAATCGCCTGGCCAAGTCCAAAAAGCCCTTCAAGATCATCGTCACCATTATAGTCACCTTCTTCCTCTGCTGGAGTCCCTACCACCTGCTGAACCTGCTGGAGACAGAGCCGGGCATGGTCCCGCCCTCCGTGTTTGAGGTCGGCATCCCCATCACCACGGCCCTCGCCGCCTCCAACAGCTGCATGAACCCCGTGCTCTACGTCTTCATGGGCCAGGACTTCAAGAAGTTTAAGGTCACCATCCTTTCCAGGCTGGTGAATGCCCTCAGTGAGGAGACAGGCCACTCCAGCATCGTTCACAGGAGCTTCTCCAAGATCTCTTCCATGACTGAGAAGGAGACGACAGTGCTCTAAATTCAACCTGGTGCCTTCAGGGGGGACAAAGTCCTCTGGTGTTGGCCATGCCCTCCACTGGGATGCTGGCCACCACTGTGGTGGTCCCTGATGTGAGACAAGCATGGTCCAACGCTGTCCTATAGTCTATTCCTTGACTGGTGTTGCTGCCTGGGGGCTGGAAGAGATTGGAGACCACCACTATGTGCACGTGGAGAAGACACAACCACCCTTAATCTTTGTCATTGCAAAGATTTTTGCACCAAACTATTTAAGGAAACACTTCAGGGTGTTCCTGTCTAACCTTTGCACTCTCTGACCTGGGAAGGGCATTCCTGGTGTTTCCAGAGACATTGTGATGGGGTGGGGGACACGTGTGGGAAGGCACCTCCTGAGGTGTGTGGTGGGTGGGCACCACCACAGGTGATACCTGCTATGGCCAAACTGGGGACACTCCTCTCCTATGTCTCTGTTTGGCTACTTGTGTTAAATCCTGAGGTATTTTGGTACAAGTGCAACGTGTTTGTAGCTGTTGGGAGCACTTTGCACCCTGAGAGGCCCTGGGAAGTGTCCTCATACCGGCTTTGAATATCCCACCTCAATGAACTGGGAAGTCTCAAATGTCTTCTAAGTGATCCAGACCCAGTGGGTGGGGGCTGGGCTTGTGCACAGGGTCACTGATGTGGAAAACTGAGAGAAAAAAGAGGGAAAGATCAATTTGAAGTGTATTTTGAGCAACTCTCCCTTTGATGGGCGCGTTCCACACGGTACATTTTGCAGAGTGATTTGATGTTTGGGACCAGGAGTCCCTGTGATTCCTTGCAAAGGGCCTGATTGGCAGCAGGGAATGGGCCCAGGGGCTGGGAATGAGCTCCTGCAAAGGACCTGCTCTCCTCTCCTGCATCCAGATGGCCTTGGGAACTGGCTCCGTTGACAGCAGCTCCCTGGTGGGACTGATTGGTCCTATGGGATGATTTTCTCTCTTCCAACCAGGCAGCAAACCCATCTTGGGAGAGTCTGGGAGTCTCGTGGGAGACTCTGCCGCCACACAGCAATCTCTGAGGTGAAGGGTGGGCTGAGCCACTGTCTCCATCCAATTTCACACACAGTTAATCTGGGAGCTCCTTCTCCATTAGGGCTTCTTGACTATGACACTGGTGTCACGCTTATTTATGTGCTGGTTTCTCCATGTCACCCACAGCCTCTCTCTCCCAGGTAAGTGAGGAGCCCTGGAGCTGGGTTTGGGCAGCCCCAGTGGCACCAGGGACACTTCAGGAGGTCCCCACAGGAGCTTTGTGCAGGGATTGACACGCTGGCAATTGAAAGTCTGCTCACAGGTGCCCACAAAGGCTGAAATATTTATTTATAGCATTTCTTGAAAATCAGAAAACAGAAAAAAACGTGAAGAGGCAGCTCCCAGGCAGAGGCAGAGAGCTATTTACGGGCTCCTGGTGGCAGCAGATCGTGCCAGACAGGTACAAACTGAACCACAAAGCCCTGGTAATTGAGCTGCCGCCCTGAGCTGCGGGAATGCTGCGGATCAGAGCGGATGCTGCAGCGGGAGCTGGATTTCAGAGGGATTATCAGGCGCCCCCTCCACCCTGGCACTGCCTTCCTGCTCTGCCTTGATCTGCATAACCTCGTTAGTGTGATGGGGAGAGGGGAACAGCCACACCACGGGAGCTGGATCTATCCTTCCCTGGGATGAGGCTGCCTGCAGCATCCGTGCCTTGGAACAGGGATCCTGATGGATCTGGTGTGTTTGGATACAGTTTTGGTTCTGCTGATGGTGTGAGTTGTGCTGGGGCAAGTTTGTCCCCGAAGCCAGGGCAAGGGGGTGACCTCCTTCCCACCACTGTGGATCCAGTCTGCTAGAAGTGGGAGATTTATCCTGAAAATTAAGAATATCCTGCCTGAGCCCCAAAGGGAAATGCAGCACGGGATGAGGTTTATAAAGGAAATTAATGGGAAATTAATGTAAAATTACTGACTTCACCTGTTGGATGCTGCTCTCACTACACAGGGGGCTGTAGGACATGCAGCACCTGGCTCCAGGTGTTTCCATATCTCCTGGGAGCTGGGAATTAGCTGCTTCCCCAGGGAGCAATGCCACATTCTTAGGCTGCACCGTGTCCTGTGGCCAAGCCCAGGGCTACTCCCAGCCCAAATCCACATGTTTTTTTTCCCTAAAACCAGTGCACAATCCATAACCATGGCAGATGCTGGAGCAGGGATGCTCCTCACTAATTTTGGTGGCTAGATTTTGCAAGCTCATCTATTATTCCTGCAAACAGCTTTCCAAAAAAAACAGTGACTTGGTACTTAACCTGGGGTTAAATCATCACTATAATAACAGCTTGGGAATCCCAAGTTTCCCAAATGTTTGAGTTCATCCTTGTAGTTGTTTACTTATTTAATAAAAGAACCTGTTTTCCATAAAAATACCCTGGTATGTGCTGAAGATCATTACATGGAGTGAGAAGGATCCCAGGGTTTTCCACTGAGCAGTCACTTCCCAGTGTGCATTCCTGATCCCTGCTATTGAATTTGGAATTGTCAAAGTGGCCAGGAGCAGAGGGGTTGCAGGGCTGGGGCTTGAGCAACCGAGATGGGAGTGTGGTGCTCTGAGCCTTTTGGATGGGAAATGTCCCAAAGATGTTCTCCGGGGATTCCCACTTTAATTTGTCCCTGAAAAGACCAAATGGCTCTTTAGGGGAAAAAACCCAAACGTGTCTGTGTGTAAAAAGCAGCTGGAAGAGCATAATTTCCCCGTGTCCACATGTGGATCCCTGTTGGATCACATCCAGAAAATGCTCTGTTATTCCAAATTGAACAAGGAATTATTAATACCAGTGCTGAGTTGGTCCCTGTGTGGGATCTGTCTGTGGGATCTCCCTCCATCCCCCCAGCAGGGGCTTCTTCCCCATCACCTCCTGTACCCCACAACCCCTCAACGCCCACTCCCCCCAGTACTTGAGGCTGTTTTGGGGGGACAGGGAAGCAGGGAAGGGGTTGGTTCCTGCTTCCCAATGGGCTCCCGGTGCTCCATCCCAGCATCCACCAGACACCAGAATTGCTGCTCCATCCCCTCCTGCTGCTGGTTCTCCCCATGCTGGCAGGGTTTGGGGTGAGAATGGGGAGAAAAAAGGGAAAAATCCACTGAATTTTTGCAGCTGGACCCTGTAACCTCCCAGATTTTGAAGAAGCCAGGAAATAGCGATAAATCCCCAGGGAATATAAGTGATTCCTGTTCCTGTGTCACCCACTGATCACAGCAAACAGACCATATATATATAAACAGGACAAAAATATTCCTCCTAAAACTTCAGCAGCTCAAGCCCCTTCAGCCAGGTTTTCTTCTTCCCTTTTTGGCAGAGTGGCAAACAAAGCAGCTCAATATTATCCCCATTCCTCTGATATTGCCTAAATCCTGCAGGAGCAGGAATCTCACAGGGTGCTGGAGATGTATCCTGTCAGCTTTCCTTTTTTTTTTTTTTTTGCAGTGCTGGTTATTTTGTTCATGGAGGGGAGGGGGCTCCGGTTGCTGTGTTGGTGAGGGGAAGGTTCAATATATTAAATTGAGGATCCTTGGATGCATCCCAGTGATCCTGATCCCCCTGGGCCGCTCAGATGGAGATGTCCTTAGCTATGAATTAATGAAGTCCTCTATGAATTAACGAAGTGCTCTTGATTAGTGACAGCAGGAGGTTAATGACCAGCTCCAGGGGGATGTGCACAAACTGGAATTAGCATCCAGGGAAGGGGCTCAGTGGGAGCTGCAGCTCCAGGGCTGGTGTCCCAGCTCTGTGCTGGCCTGAGTGTGACCACCCAGCTCCTTTCGGGGCAGAAATTGGTGAAATTGGTAATTAGGGATGCAGAGGGTTTAGCATCTCAGAGTTTAGGGGTGAGTGGGATGCAGACCTGCCACTGACCCCGTTAAACCTGCAATTAAGGCAGCTGTGGGGATCACGAGCTTAGGGTAGGTCAGGGCTTGTGGGGGAAGAGCAGCAGGTTTTGGAGATGGGACACCAACCCCCATCCCAGGACCCTCATCCCAAGCCCTGGGACTCAAACCTTCAGCCCAGGACCCTCATCCTCATCCCAGGACCCCAATCTCCAGGACCCCCCATCCCCAGCCCTGGGACATCCCAGGAACACCCTGACCCTCAGCCCAGAACCCCCATTCACAACCCTGTGAACCCCCATCCCCAACCCCAGATCCTGTTCCCCAGCCATCCCACCCCTCCCTACCCCATGATCCCATGGTGCTGAGGAGCTCAGCACCCCCAGCCCCCGATGCTTTTGCAGCCCACCAGGAGCCTGGGCAGGACCATTCCTCACCAAGCACATCCCAAACCTACCTCATACCTCTCCATGTCCTCTTCCCACCCCTCCAAACCTGGGGCTGGGTCTCATTCCATGTGAGAAATGACTTGGGAATACTCCAATCCCATTTCTGTGGAGCACATTACCGGCCTTAATGATGGCTCTTTTTCACTTGGCTGTCATGGCCCTGAAATAGAGCCATGCTTTACCTCACCCATAAATCACTCCTTTATTTGGAGTTGGAATTAAATTAAAAAAAAAAAAGGAATAAACATGTTACCCTCTCCCTTTCCTCAGAGCCAGGCAGGTTGGAGCCATGTTTAAATAATCTCTGCTGTATTCAGGCAGATTGTCAGCTGTAAATTTGGGGGAAAATAGCAAAGCTGATAAATAAGCATGTTGGTTTTATCAGTGATGGATGTTGCTGCTCTCGGATTTATGACACATCTCCCCATTAAGGGGCTTTTGTGACAGTGCTGCTGAGGGGGATGATTTCCCTCTCATTTAAACGCAGCAGGAACTTCATGGGATTTAATTTGGGAGGAAGGGGAGCCCCTTCCTTCTGAGCTGCTCTGAGCCCCCCAACATCTCTGGGGTCATTGCCCAGAACCCCCTGAATTCACCCCAGAGGGGCTTCCACTGCCTTTGATGAGGGAGGGACCCCCAACCTGAGCTGCTCTGGTCATCATCTCCAGAATCATCTCTTGCACCACAAGGACCACTGAGTACAAACCTCCCCCCCCGGAATTGGGGGCATTGCAGGTGATTCTGGTGCAGCCGCTGTTCCAGGGACCGCTGAGCACAAAACCCACACAGAACTGGGGGAAATGCAGGCGGTTTTGGTGCAGCCGCCGTTGCCACAGCAACCGCTGAGAAACCCATCCAGCCCAGGAGGGAGGATGCTGCAGCCTCCGCCAGCGCAGGACCGGGAGGGAGGGAAACACTCCCAGGGATGAGAGATTGATGGAAATAGATGATTTTCAGTGCAGGAATCCAGGGAGGGGGGTCAGGATCTCCCCAACCCCACATGGGGCTGGGCGAGATGGTTGTGCCTACCCAGGGATTGCTCAGGGCTCGCTGGGGCTGAGTCAAGCAGAAAGATTCCCTGCTTTTCCAGTCCTCGTGGAAAGACTGAGTGTTGCCTACCCCGGGCTAATGGCATTACAGAGGCAGCTGAGCAGGGAGGCTATTAAATGTCAAGAGTTTTGCCCAGGAAAATGATGCAGGAAGGATGGTTGGCTCCTCTTTCCAGGGGGAATGGAGATTTTTTTAGTGCGTGCCAGTCCCACGTGGTAAAAATATAACCCTGCATTTAATAAATAAATAAAAATAAATGAGAGCATGAAGCTTCGGCTCTGTGCGTGCAGGGACAGCAGCTCCTGGCAGGAGGGAGAAGCTGCTCCTGCGTCAGTGGAATGGAAGGGAAGGAGGGACACCCCCCCTAATCCAGAGGTGCAGCCAGATGTGCAGCACACGCTGACAGGGACCTAATGACTTCCAAATGCTCCATTTCAGTGCAAATTAAATTTTAAAAAAAGCAATTGCGGCGCAATAAAGGCAGGAGGAAAAAAATAAAAGAGGGGAATTGAATCTGCTGGTGCTCAGGGAGCTCCATCAATCCTTTTGCCGTGGGTTGGGAAGGGGTTTGTGGGGGCGGTGGGGCAGATGTGGGGTCCCCCTCCCCACGCCCTCCCTTCCTCCTGACAAGCTGTAGCCCAGGCTCTGAGCACATTGGCTGCACGCAATGTCAGCTCTTAATTGTTTTATCTCCGAGATTAATTGGCTTTTGGGGTTTAATTATTTCTAAGGGGCGGAAGGGAACGCTGCCCCTTTGGCAGCCACGGCCTGTCAGAACAAATCACGCCTGATGTGTGTCTTCATCACTGCACACCCAGTGCTGCTATAAAAAAAGGGATTTCACCAACTCCTGATCAGAAATAAGGAATAAATTGCACTGAACCTGCTCTTGCTCCAGCACTGAGGAAGGTTGGGAGGCACCAGGAATAAAGCCTGCAGTGAATCTCCCCATAGACCCCAACAAGGTACTGAAGGACACTCTAAAGGTACTAAAGCTCCCAAGAAGGAGCCCCTTTGGTTCTGTTCTCAGTGGTTTAAATACAGAAATCACATTGTTGGGATTAAAGGTGGGGGAGAGGAGCCGTATCCTGTGGGACACTCTGGTCTGGGATGGGTAGGAGGTGCTCAGGTGGCCCCACAAACACACGGGGAGGCAGAATAGCAACAAAATCTCTCCTTTAATAGCTGGATTGACCTGAGGATTTTTTCTGACCGAGGTAAACAGCCCCAGGGCTGCTGTGAGTGAAGGAGCGTGGGCTCAGCTCCATTCCCAAAAAACCTCCAGCCATTTGACAAGGGAAGAGTTAAAACCAGGGCGGCTATTCCCTCTGAACACATTCACCCACCTCCGTGCAAAAGAAACAGGGAGTAGGAGCCCCCCAGCCCATGTTTGCTCCTCAAGCACATTAGAAAAATATATTTTTATTTAAATTCTCCTTTTTCTCCATGGAATTTTCTTCTCTCTTTAAATATAGATCGAGTGGTGTGTCTCGATTTGACCTGTGCCTGTGTTTCTATCAAGATCAAGAGTTAAAAGCCAATTGTTCAACATCTAATCTAGAAAAGGCTGCGTACAATATATGGCTTTTGCACCTACACCCAAAGGGAACTCACAGGTTGGGAATATTAGGGGAGCTTGTCTGGGGCAAAGCCAGGACAGGGACAGGCTGGGAGGGCAGCGTGGGATGAGGGGATGGCTGGGGATCACATGCAGCTCTGCACAAAGCCAGCCTGGAAATGGCACCTTCCTGTGCCCACGGGATCCTTTGGTTTGGGTTGGGGCTCGGGGGGGCTCAGCCCTCCCAAAGCTCAGCCCCAAGGTTTGCTCCCCACTGCAGCTCCTGGCCCCCAAAACAGCTGCTGGGGGGCTGTTCTGGCTCGTGAGCTCCTGAAATGAGGCACAGATGAGCTCCTGGGTTGCAAAAGCTCTTCAGTCCAGGGCCAACGTCCCCCTCTTGAGCATCTTCCCTGTGGAGGGGGGAGATCCCACCTGTAGCCACCCAGGTGGGGGTCATGGACTCCTCCAGGGCTGGAGCAGCGATGTTGCCTGGTGCTAGGGCAGCACCGGGGAATGCAGCCTTGCTCCAGGGAGCCAAGGGAGCCAAGGGTTGGCTCATGGGGGCACAGCCACCTTGTTTGGGGACATTACTCTCCCCAGCACAGCCTTCCTGATTCCCATCAGGAATGATGGGATCCCTGGGAGCAACACTCACGCAATACCACCCCTTGGCCTAATGCTGATGGATTCCATGCAGGGACAAGCAGATGCCTCCCAGGGCTGGCCATGGAGTGAAAGGAGTTTGGGGATACCCACCCCTGGGAGCTCAGCTCCAGGGTCCGTCAGGCATGGCCTGTGTCCCTGAGCCAGCCCAAGGAGACCACAAACAACCCAGGGCACTTCCAAGGACCACGGATAAAACCCATTGCACTTCCAAGGAGGGCTGTAGCAGCCGGAACAGGAGTGGGATGGAGCAGGAACCCTGTGGTGGTGAAGGCACCCGTGTCCCCTCGGTGCTGCTGCCTTGCCGGGGTCTGTGATGGTCAAACAAGCTCAGCACTGGCTGGGGACCACTCGTCGCTCATGCAGGGAGTTGATCAACAGCTATAGCAGCAATGGAGAATTAAAAGCAGAGCCACCCACTGGGTGGAATTAGGCAGAGGCCGGGAGCAGGGTCAGGTCCCCCCCGCCGTCATCACCATCATCTCGGGTAATAATCGTCCGGGACCCCCGACAGGTTCCGGAGCTTCAGAGCCGTGTCCACTGTTTTGATGTAGCCACTGATCATCTTCCTCATCTCAGGGGTGTAGGGGTCGTACTCCAGTTTCCTCAAGCCGGATCGCTTGAAGTTGCCGTCCTTCTGGCCCTCGACACAGAGCAGCCTGTCCTCGCAGGCAGTGATGCCCAGCAGCCCCACCATCCGCTGCAGCTGCACGAAGAGGTCTCGTTTCAGGTCCTCAAAGTGCACCACCAGCACCTTCTTGCCGTAGCGCAGCCAGTCGAGGGTGTGGGTTGCCCACCACGGCGCATAGTTGGCCACGAACTCCGGCCACTCTGGAAAGAAGGAGCAGAGGACACAGTGGGTGGGTGGGTGTGCCCTGTGCCCTCCCACACCCCTGTTGAGATCTCTCAGTTATCCTACTGGCTAACTGATCCTCCCGTAGAAACCAGGTGGTAAAAGGGGTAATGAAACATCAATAATGAGCCACAACTCTCCCGATGGTGCTGCACAGACCCATTCACGACACATAAAAGCTCTGGACATCGGCCTCTTCCTCATGTCCTTCCCACGAAACCAATGCCTGATTAATTGCTGAGCTGGGTTTAATTCCCTGAGGAATCATTAAACACAGGATCTGTTTCATTAAGCAGATCCAGGACAATTCACCTTGTGTAATCATATCACATAAAACTTTGCTTTGGAACCGCTCCAGGGATATCGTAAAATTAACGTCATGGAACCAAACAGGAGTTTGGCCTCTGCAGGGCTGGGAATGGGGGGGAAGGAAATCCCCCCTCTCTGCACCAGCACCTGAGGGTGAGGCTGGAGAGAGGTCATGGTGCTTTTTTTCCCAAATTTGCCCCCAAATTAGTTCTTGAGAGAAGGAAATTATTTGGACAGCTGGGCTGCAGGGAAGACTGCAGATGGGACCCTCCTCCTCCATGGCCAAGAGTCTACCCAGCCTGAGCCCAGACGAGATCAGCAAAATGGGCCTCACCGACCAAACAATGGAAAATCTCCATCTTTCCCAGCAAGTTCTGACAATTAACCTAGTTATGCTGTACATCCTCCAGAAAGAATTTGGTGATGTATTTTGTTGCACATCCAAATGAGAAGGTGCTGGGCAGAGGGAATGGTCCCCTCTGCCTGGCCTGCCCCTCCCCTTGGAGGCATGAGGCATGGGACAGGCTGGGGAGGGAGCTGGGATTGGGATGAGTCAGGATGGTCCCTGTGGTGCTGGAGTGATGGTCCCACATCCCCTCTCCATCTCTACGTGCAGTTGGATAGGGATAAAATCTACCAAGAGGCTCCTGGCCCACCACGGTGGGGCAGTGGCAGCCCAGAGACCTTCACAGGGAGACAAGGACTGGGGGATATCACTCCCTCCTGGTTTTATGGGATGGGGAGAGCAGGGCTGGGCTGTCTCTGGCTCTGTGAGCACATGGAGATAACGAAATCCAGACACAAAACAGCCACAGCAGCAAAAGCTCCCCTTAAATAAACTCAGAATTAAGGGTAGCAGATGTTCAATCAAGCTAAATATTTTAACTCTTTCCAATGAAGTCAATCCCACAACAGCAATTTGTAAATTGCTGTAATTAACCAGCCTGCACAACATGCCTGTGCATGGGAAAGGTGGTGGCTCTGGAGCAGCCGGGCACACGGAAATCCCACCTGGATACCACCTTGTCCATAGGGATGGGCTTGTGACAGCCACCACTCCCTCTGATGACAGTGGGGAGAGGAGATGCCCATCCCTGCTCTGGCCCCACCCAGGGCAGCGTGGTCCTGCTGTTCCATCCCATTGTGTCCCATCCCATCCCACCCCATTCTAATCTGTTCCATCCCACTGAACCCATCCCACCCCATTCTAATCCATCCCATCCCACCCCATCCCACCCAGTGCGGGAGCCCTCGGCCATGCAAGATGATACTGTGGGTCACGCCAGGAGATGGACATGGTGACCCCAAAGTGATGGCACAGCCCAGGATTCCCCAATGGAGACCCAATTCAGGCTCTACTGGGCTTTACCACCAACTTCCCAGCTCTGGTGGCCAGGCTGGAGCTCTCCCATCAGATCCCAACCCCTGGCCTACCTTTGCCCTTCCAGTGGGCGTGAGCGGCGAAGCCGATGTGTCCCCCGTACTTGCGATTGAACTCGGCCATCAGGGCCTTGTAGGGGTTCCTGATGAGCAGGATGGCAGAGTCGAAGGACTCAATCTCCTTCTGGCCACTCTCGTGGGTCTTGATGCAAATCGTCCTCCCGCTGCGCCAGTGGTCCCGCTCACCCTTGAATCCTGCCGGGACAGAGTCCAGTGGGAATAATAAAAGGGAGCTGGGAGGGCTCAGCCTGGACAAAAGGAAGCTCAGGGGGGACCTTATTGCTCTCCACAGCTCCCTGGGAGGAGGGTGGAGCCAGGTGGGACTCGATCTCTTCTCCCAGGTAACAAGCGATAGAACAAGAGGAAACAGCCCCAAGTTGTGCCAGGGGAGGTTCAGGTTGGATATTAGGGAAAATTCCTTCATGGAAAGGGTTGTCCAGCCCTTCACAGGCTGCCCAAGGCAGTGGTGGTGTCACCATCCCTGGAGGGATTTAAAAGCCATATGGATGTGGCACTTGGGGACGTGGGTTAGTGGTGGCCTTGGCAGTGCTGGGGGAATAGATCTCAATGATCTCAAGTCCTCTCCAACCCAAATGATCCCAGGATTCTGTGAAAGAGAATGACTCAGAGATATCAGGTTGCAAAGTACAGTTGGATAAAAGCAGCTGGGGCGTGAAGGAGGATTTCCATCCCTCTCCCAGATGGAAATCATTTATTTGCCCGAGTTATGAGTCACATAAAATTCGTGAGAGGGTGGGTACCAGCACAGGGGCTGCTCAGAGCTGCATCTCCCTGGCCATGCTCAGCTCTCCTGCTTGTTTTGGGGGGTCAAGAACATATTTTATAGCTATAATCTCCCTGACCACAGCATTTAAACTCTCCCATTAAACTAAGAAGGGGGAAACCTCCCTTTTTGTGGGGCTGTGGAGGAGCCCAGGGCTGTGATGATGCCATGAGGGGTCCACAGAGGGGACCACCACCCCCTGTGCCCTGCATGGAGCATCAGGGCTGAGTCCAGCATCCCTCCCAATCCTTGCAAAGCACAACCACCTGGAGCAGAGCCAAGGGGGAGATGAGCTGGAAGGAGCTGTATGACATCAATTATAGAAGTGTAATTTGCTCTGGGCCGTGCCGGGCGACGCGGGGCTGTGCTGGTTGACCTGCCAGTTGCCTGGATACCTCCCGGCCCCTCTGACACGGAATTAACACGTAACCTACGCTTGGGTGGGTGAGCAAAACCCAGCCAAGGCTTTTTCCCAGGGTTGCTCTGCTCTCTGAGATGTGGCTGCACCCGGGACTGGGTGCCAGGGGCTGGAACAGTCTGCGCTCCCTGAATCAGGGCTGAGTATTTCTATCTCTGGAAGTATGGGTTTGGCAAATTCAAAGGAATTCCTGTGGTGTTGGGCAAACAGGGGTTTAGGGGGTACCCCACCAGCTCTGTGAGTACCCCAGGCACACATCCCAGCTTCACCACAGCCAAGGAGGAGCAGAGGATTTCCTCTCAAAGGTGCAGGAGGGGGAGGAGGAGCAGGAGAAATCAAGATCCACAAATAAAACTGTTGTAAAAGGCTATAAAATGGGGGAACTGGTGTTTTTCCTTCCCCTTGCAATGAACTGGGTTATCACAACCTCAGAATCCCAAAATGGTTTGGGTTGGAAGGGACCTTACAGCTTTCATTCCGACCCCCTTGGAAAGTAACACCTTCCACTAGACCAGGTTGCTCCAAGCCCTGTCCAACCTAGCCTGAAACACTTCCAGGGATGGGGCAGCCACAGTTTCTCTGGGCAACCCTTGCCAGGGCCTCACCACCCTCACAATTTCCTCCTAATATCTGACCAGGACACCCTCAGTCCAACCACCCCATGGAGCAGCATCGCTTACACCCAGCCCTGCTTTCCCCTTCCTGCAGACCCACGGGGTGTCACCAGGACCTTTCCCAGCTCAGGTGGGACTGGTGCACTCCCAGAAATGACACCCTCCCCTCACCTTTGTTGTAGAGAGACCCATCAAAGTAGTAGCTGCCGGTGTAGAAGCCGGTGGCCAACTCGATCAGGTGTCGTGCCCAGGTGTTGCCAGCTCCAGGGAAGCTGGCCAGGGCCACCAGCTGCTTGGCTCGGGTGGGGAGAAACCTCCTGTCCATACAACGGTTGTCTGCAGTGAGAACCAGCCATGGCACATCAGGAATGTGTCATGGAAACATGGTTTTCCTACAGGGATGTCCCTCTGCCTCCCGCGAGGATGGAGGGGCAACAGTGAGGAGGCGGATGCTACAAGGAAAGGTGCCCTGCCCAAAGCACAGAGGGACATCCCAAAAGGTCCTGAACACCTCAAGGAGTCCTAAACACCCCAAAAAATCCCAAGGAGAAGATAGTTCTCTGCCATTATCAGCTCCTTGCTGCCTGCATCCTTAGGGAAGAGTGAGTAGCAGGGATGCGTGTGCCTAGCAACGTTCCTGCTTTTTATGTGGATGAATGAACAAACATTTCCAGCATGGCCTCAAACACTGAAGGTGGGATCGTGACAAGACTGATCTGCTCTGAACCAAAACCACCTGAATTTGGGTCCTCGCTTGTTCCCTTCAGCCCTTTCCTCTCCCAGTAAAAGTTTTCCCCTTTCTCTGTGCTTCCCTGTTTCCATGGTCCCAATGCCAGAGGACAGGAGCCCTCTCTGTGCAGCATCCTGGGGAATTTCTGCCTGGTCACAGTTTTTTTCCCCCCATATTATTCCCTGGAGCTCATCCCCTCTGGATGGTGAACCCTCTGTGGGTTCACCAACCGGTGCCAAGGAGGTGAGAAAAGCCCTGGCAAGGAGGGACCCTGCCAGAGGCAGATGGAAAACTGCTCTTCCCTGCAGCTGAGTCAGGCAGTAACTACACCTGTTTGTTCAGAGGAGGACCAATTTCCCAGGAAATTCAAAGAAATGCTAATTTTTAATGGAAGATTCTGCGAGCTCACACTCGCTTTCTGCCGGCATTCTCAGGAAGGGGGTGGGAAAAGGGTGCTGGAGTGGTCCCTGCCTGTCCCAGCTCACCTTGCACCTGGGTCTGGTACACCAGGAGGAAGTCGGCGGTGCCGCAGCTCTCGAACTCCTCCCCGGGGCATTTCTGGGCACAGAGCTGCTCGTCCTCGCGCTCGTGCAGTGGGAACAGCGTCGTGGGGAATCCGCAGTGGCACAAGGTCCCTGCCAGGGCTGACAGCGGGTATTCCTGCAGGGATGGGCACATGGAGGGCAGCCAGTGGCACTGCCCCTGTTCCCCATGGCAGATCCTTCCTCTGCCCCAAATGCCTGTCCTCGCTGACCTGGTCCCGCTGTGTGGTGCGGGCTGGTTTGCAGCATCCTTCCAGGCCATTCCAGCACCCTTCCAGCATCATTCCAGCACCCTTCCAGCACCCT